TTCAGTGCTGAAAATACTCCAAAATATGCTGCGGACATCTTCCAGGCGAGCTGCTACCGCCTGGAGATGTCGGCTTCCATCGGACCCGCCGGCGACCTGGACAGGACGGGGAAACAACTGGACATCGAGCCATCGAGTCAATTACACCTTGAAACATTCAAGCATTGAACAGCTTGGCATTGGAATACAGGGCAATAAAAGCAGATGCAAGTCCAGTCAGGCACGGAGCGAGATCGAGGTCAACTGTCAGGTTGGGTCAAACTATAATAGTTCAAGGAAAGACAAACCAACTAGTGGCGATCTGTGGCGGCCCGAGTAGCGTTCCTGAAAAATTGCATGTAAGAGCAGGCGTTGGAGATTGGGATTATGCAGTGCATCATGCGTGGAACCCTCGGACCGCGCCTGTGCTGGCAACCCGCGTTAATATCGATCCGTCCCCACCGGGACATGTTGAGTTGAAAGTTGCAATGACGGACGTTGACGTGGACAGAAAATCCAATTAGTGACTCGAAGGTCCAGACATGCAAGGCGAGGCGAGTCTGGCGATGCTCAAGTCTGACGGAGATGACGGACATACGCGGGGATACGTTGACGGGGCGGAATGCAGGGACGGTGGTTGCGGTTGGAGGCGTGATGCCATCACCGCCTCGTCCGCTGTTCAATCAACTGGGTCAAGAGCGTTTGGAACTAGGGTGAGCCGATTCCTTGAACCATCGACGCTAGGCGAGCGGATGATTAGTTCGTCTATCTGTCTGCATCGAGATTGAAATTAGATTCAAACCTCTGTTATTGAGATACATCGTGGACCTTGATTTTGATCTTGTCTTGGACAGTAGACTGAAACGGATTTGGGGTATTTGCCTGGACCTAGACAAAGACAAAGACAATAGCAGTGATAATGATCGTTGATCGTCCAGACAGACAAGAGCAGACAAGCCATTTCTCAATTCCAAACGGCCTTGAACAAGATGCGAAAGTTGCCAAACCTATATCCACCAGCAAAACGGCGGGAAGAGCTGGCTAGGCGTCTACAAGAGTGAGCCGACAGCGGAGACACGATTGGAGACGACAAGATGTACTAGCCGATGCATGTGATCTTGACATCCATGTGATCATTTACTGCTGTCGCGTCGCGCTCACCTCGTCCTCGACGCCTGCTCCCCCCTGTGGTCTATCTCTTATGTCGACCCATCCGTCCTCGCTCCTAACCTTTTGGCTGTCTTATTGGACTCTTCCTTCAAGACCCGAACGCCATTGGTTCCTGCTGCACCGGATCTTTCTCCGTTCCATTCTGGCGCGGCGAAACCACGTTCCCGAAACCAAGGACAGACAGCCTAGCGCGCGCAACAGCAGACGTGCAATACATACTTGTTGTTTCTTATTGGGCAGCCGTAGTCCGCGTTGTGCTCCAAGTCGTCCCCGCCTCAGCTTGGCATCCAAAGTCTCCCTGGATGAGTGGAGCTATCCTGGAGTCGCCTTAAGATATTCATTGACAATTTATTTCTTTCATCCCTCATCTCACTCGAGAGTCACTGAAACGGACTATCAACGACACAGGTTACGGCACTCGGCGAATTAGATGCGAACATCGACTCAATCTGGCGAGAAGCGCTCATCGCATCTCGCTCGCATCGGGCACGAAGCATATCAATACGGAAGCGGAAGCGGGGATAATAACATTAAATCAAATCGAGCCCGATCTGACGATGTCGAAACGCCAGCATTGCAACAAACAAAATATAGCATTCACGCGCCCCGGGGAAGCGGGCTAGGCTAACCATAACAGTGTGTGCAGATGCGGTGTCTCCACGTATATAAACCGGCGCGCTGAAGTGTACTTTGTTTCCTTCGCGCAAGAGTGGAGAAAAGGAACGATGCAGCAGCGTCCCGCCGGCCCGCAGCTGCCGAGCATACGCACCCTGCACCCCTACCTCCCGCCCCCCGGACCTCAGGCCGCCATGGACCCCGGCCCGTCGACCTCGACCTCCAACTATACACCGGCGCCCCCGACTCCGAGTCACGGGTATCCCTACCCCGCGTCCTCATACGCTGACTCCGAAGGTGATGAACAGCGCGAGCATGAGGGCAACGAGCCACCGAAGAAGAAGCGACGAAGACAAGCACTGAGCTGTACTGGTGCGTGTCTTTCGTTCATTTTGAGAACCCGAAACTAACTAATTTCGCGCCACCAGAATGCAAACGGCGGAAGATCCGGTGCGATAGGTGCGCATCGATTCGTTTCTCCTTTCGTTGTTGAGGCGGGAGGTAACTGGTTGGATAATAGGACACAGCCGTGTGCGCCGTGTGTCAGGCGGGGAGACCAGGCGAAGTGTCAGTGGCATGTTGTGGAACCAGCGTGAGTCCTTTCAGTCACGATTTATTTTTCTATGGACGTCTGTTTTGGCTATCTGGACGTGCCTCCCATGTCGTGTGCATGTGCCCATACGCGGGTGGAGACTATGTGCCAGCGCGCGCCGATAAACGGCGATGCGATCGCTGTCTGCCTAACGCTCCGGGGCGCGATCGCGATTTTTAATCCATCCTACATCGTACAAAATTCGATACTCACAAGTGCGCCTTCAGTGCTGAGAAATACGTCCCCCGAGCCGAATACGACACCCTCCGCACGCGTGTCGATGCGCTCGAAGATACCCTTCGCGGGCTCAAGGACTATATCCACCGGCTTCCTCCGCATGTTCGCGCGTCTCACCCCCCGCCGCCGGGTTTGCTCCCACTTTCGCCGCAAGAATCACCATCCCAGGGCCAGGGGCAAGGCTTTGATCCACAATCGCCGCTCTATCATGAGCAGAAGGCATTTACCCCGGCAAGCCAGTCACTCCCGCCGATGCAGATGCAGATGCAGACGTTCCCTAGTTCGGGGGCGGTGTCGGGATCAGAATCGACCTTTTCTCCCGGCAGCCTGGGTGGGCGACAGGGATCGTTTCAAATCGGTGGGCCGGGACATGCAGGCGGAAGTGAAGGCACATTTTCGGGCGGTATCGACATCGGCATTGCCCCGGCGCAGACCCAGACGCAGCAGGCCCCGCGAGGACACAGACAACGACAGACACAGCCGGATACCCATCCCCGCTCCGCGAGCTTCTCACCAACCCATGTGCGACGTGCGAGCGTCTCTTCGTTGACTCACCCTACCAGTCCCAATATCCCTTCACGTCCAACGACCACACAGCGGCACCGCAGCGACTCGCAGTTCGGGTACCCACCCCCACCCGCGCCTCCATCCGGCACAGTAGTGCCCTCAGAGATCCAGCGGCGTGCGATATCCAGTTCGCCTGTGTATGGGCGGGGTCTGGCGGGGTCACATACGATCTCAGCTCTGGGGGACAGTGGGAGTGGGGGTGGTAACGCACACCAAGGAGGAGCAGGTGGCTCGTTCTTGTCTTTTCCTGCGCACCCACCGGAAGCTGCGCCTGCCCGGACGCTCTCACAGACAAGCGCCTCGCCCCCCTTCCCCGCGTCGCCCGTGTTCTCGTCTACCGGCTCGGCGCCTGGTAGTAATCTGGGCTCAATCGGCTCGCCGAATGCAGGCAGGACGAGTGCCACTTTCTTATCGTCCTTTGCCAGCTCGTCAGGATCGTCGTTTTCCTCTTCTGCGTACTCTCATGCCTCTGTAGCCACGCCACCACCGCCTTTTCCTGGGTACCAAGGGATGCTGTACCAGCCCCTGCCTCATTTACCCAGCTCGACCCACTCGGATCCCAGCGAAGCCGTTTCCGCACTCCCTCAAGCGCTGACGCGTATCGTGCACCCTGACGTCGGCGCCGCACTACACGCTGACGTCAAGCAGCGGCGGGAGCGCAAGGACCCCGAGCTGCGGGGTCCAGGAGCAATGGGCGCGCCGTCCACGTCCCCACATAACTTAAAAAATCGGCCCGCGCAGGCGCTCCAGGGCGCGCGTCTGCGCGCCCACCGCGCGCCCTGGCTCCGGCGGCTCTTCCTTCCCCGCCCCCGGGCCCACCCTCCGCCGACATCCACAGTTCCCATCCCCACACGGACAGCGACCGCCCCCCGCGTCTGTCCCGTGCCAGTACATTGCACACACCTTCTCATTCCGGAACCGGCGCGCGCGGGGAGGGCAGCGGCCCGGTACATATGGACGTCGCCGTGCACCACCCCGAGGCGGTGCCGGCGCCTCGTGCTCGTGTGTCCTCCCACGTCCCGCCCCACTCCAGCACCAGCGCCCGACCACGCCCCGCGGCGCGCGCGTCGTACCCACCGCACAGGCTGCACCCGTACCGGCGCTCGGGGGAGGGGGAAATGCACACGCACGCCTTGAGCCCGCGGGTGCGCTCTCCTGCCCCGCTCTACCCGCCCGCGGGGAGTACCGCCCGGGAAGATGCAGAAGTTCGCGGGGGCAGTGGGAGGTGAGCTGCGCGCGCACTGAATACTTGCTGCATGGTACGGACTCTTGTCCAGTCCCTTCTCTCTCCCGAATCAAATCGATGCGGATATGTTCTCCCCCACCTATCCCTTACACATTCAAATCCGCTGCATCTTCTCGCCCCGTCTACATTCGCCTGCTCGCTTGCATACTCCACCCACCTCTTGATTGCACCTACTACCCACCACGCACTAACTTAATGTACAGCATCCCTTTACATTTGTAACTTATTTCCCTGCAGTCAGCATGTAAATATTGTATTGTACACAGCGGATAGCGAAGCGAAAGATGAGGATTGCTGTGGAGATCCTACATAAGTTCATCGATGTCACAATCTCCTATCCAGGATGCAGCCCTCGCAATGTAATCAAATAAAAGGACCTCCGAACTCGAGTCTATCATCATGCATTCTTGGCATTTTGCCAAAGACCCAAATATTCTATCTACCTTGTGCGCCTTTCAATCCTGAAGCGAGCGGCCTAGGGAACAGTGGTCTCACTTGTCGGCAAAAATTAAAATTAAAAAGAGGCGGGAGGGTAGAGAGGTCGGTTGGCATCCGCCGTTGGTTAAAGCTCGGCCAGGACGAACCCAAAAAGAATGACCACCGCAGGGGTCGAACCTGCAATCTCCTGATTATACATAGGTCCAACAGGATCGTAGTCAGACGCGATGCCATTTCGCCAGGCGGCCATGATGGGGATAGGACAATCAACCAGTACAACGGAGCCAGGTGTCAACTGTTCACTTGACGAGCCTGGGCGATAACAAAAAATGGCCGTCAAGTAGAAATGACAGTTTGACCTCAAAGTGCAAGTGACAGTTCTTTGTTCGCAGTGAGAAGGATGCAATCATCCGACCTCTCCTCTATATTTTCTGACCATAACCTCAATGTTGAGATGTGTTGAGCATCAGAGATATGGGGTACCGGTTACCTAAAATTTCTTAATTGTTTTTTTGTGTTCTTAGGGTGAAAATTCAATTTCATACATCCAGTGTGAAAGTGGCCCTGGCCCATTTGTCACTCTGAAGCATAATCCCATTGAGTGTGAACTCCTCATCTGGCATTAAAGCCCCTCCTCTATTGCTTTCCATATTTTGTAGGTTCATGTTCCACACCAAGGTCCAACCCTCCCAGTTGGATAGCTGAGCTGACCCACTTATGATACTAGTCTCTGTATGCCTGTATTCACTTGTCAGGATATGGTAGTTATAATATTACTTACATGTATTTATATGAATCTGGCCAGTCTTACAGCCAATGTTGGAACCAAAGGCATGAACAAAATTTTCTTGTTTTGGTGAGTTTTCGAAGAATTCCTTGTAACTCAATTAGTTCTGCACCAATTTGGATGAGACCTGGATAGATTTGACAGGCTAATTCATGCGCAATTAGTGATAGAAAGCAATTTATGAAAATATTATGTATTAAATGTCACATACCATGAATTTCATGCCCCTTTTTCGGCTCCTTTGGACTCTGATTATCTCCAACACACAGCCTTTCCGTAATACTGTTGTTTCCATTGGTTTGTACTGCATTTGACTCATACCTATGCCTATGCTATGTTTTGACTCATTTCATCACAGGAGTCTCGGACCTCTGATAATCTCTGAGTCATACTGATTTACCTTGATTCATTATGACTCAATCCATCATGGACCCACTCAGAACTCCGAAACTCCGGTACTTACATTATATCCCCACTAATACTTTACTCTCCTATAAATACAAGCCATGTCCGTAGTTAAACTTCAGTTTGAATATCGACTAAGATTTGCCCTAATACTCTTCCTCTCGGACCTCCAACTCTCTCCAAAATTGGGCATTGGGCATAGAGAAAGGCACAGCACACAAGCTGAAGCCTGCACATCTCATTGGACTTGCAGTCTGTCAAGATCGCTGCACGGATGTTGGTGAAGGCTCTGGTTGACTGCAGAGTGACTGGGGACTTCATCGACTCTGTGTCAGAAAAAGGCCAGTCAGCATGCAACAGTTTGGTTCAGCATGTGACCTTGGAAGGGCATCAGAGTGCCTCAAAGCCGCGGCAGAGCAACTCCAAACCAGTTCCAAGCTGTTCAAAGGCTCAATGTAAGTACTAAGCCGTCTCAAGCTGTTCCAAGGTACACATATATATTCTGGGGTCAGAAAAATATTTGAGGTCAACTCTACGTGCCTCAGAGGAGTGATTTGTCTTGATACATGCACTGGGCTGGGTTGTATTTTTTCAACCACTCTTGTTCTCGCAATCTGAGCACCGTGAAGCCTGTGTGAAAAGCCTTCAGCAGAGCTCCACCTGGGTGCCGACTAAGGTACATAACTCTGTTGATGACCTCTGAATATTTCCCTCAATATGTGTGCTCATTAAGATGTTACCAAGATAATTTAATACGAGTCAATGATTACTTACTTGCTTACAGCCTGAAAATGACTAATATAATGATGCTACCATAAAGAGTCCACCTTCGTGGAGAAGGGTATGTAACATACAGATTTTTTGTGACTTTTTGACTCATCTCAGAACACGTTATAAGCATGGACATGGCTTGGGAGTGGTTGTGTGATTCTAGACTGTGCGTTAGAAGCCAGTTAAGGCATGTGACCATCCAACAACTTCAAACATGTTCAATGCCGTTTGAACCCAAAACAGATTTTTCCGACATGAGTACATATATATATCATCTCCCACAACCTTCCGGTCAAGTGGCTCTTGCAGCCTATTTTGGTTCTCAATGTGGATGGCACCACAAACCAAGCAGGTGGCATTTCCAGTGTAGTTGATATGGTGGTTGACTACAAGGGACATTCTGTGCATCCAGCTCACTGTAACATGGCTCAGCAAGCAGCACGTCATCCTCGGCTACTCCTAGCTCCAAAAGCACAACCCAGAGATCAACTGGGAGACCAAGGAGGTTTGCATGACATGCTGCCTGACCAGCTGCTACACCTGCTGTGATGAGTTGTAAGGCCATCTCAACTTAACTTGTTTGCTGACCCACCCTTGCATATTTTTCAGAATGTTAGACCTGTCAAATATAGCATCATGATGCCTCTCTAACATGCATCAACTATTTCCAGTGACATTACTTTGTCATCAGGTAATATGTGTTTTATTGCTCCCAAAGTTGTGACTTAGCAAGTTGACTTGAATTATGTTAATTCCCATGTTCTCTGTGGTCAATCATTATTTTGCTAAATGCTGTGTGAACATGATGGACCTATTGTAACTCCACTTCCTGACCCTCTAATACCCCAGAATTGATGTGATCCTTGGACACTAAGCACGTTAAGTCGAGTTTATGTGACTTGAGTTGCAGCAACACTAGTCCAGAGAAGTGAGAAGCTCTCAGCTGCAACTCTCCGGCAGCTGTGTGAAGGTCCAGTCCTGTCCATCTGCTCTGTTGAATTGGAAGAGTGGGACAGAGACAACGGGTACAATCTGGAAGCCAACAATGATGACCTGCCTGATCTGTCCCAGACCTGGACAACAACAACAACAATGACAAGCTTGAGGAAGACGACCACATATTGTGCAAAAGGATCAGATTCCTCAAAGCATAAACTCCAACACAACACATCTCCACCATAGAAGCTCCGAGTTGCGTGTGAGACCAAAAAGTCCTGAATTGCTTTGTTGCAGTTCAACCTTACAGATTATGGAGGAGAAAATTCAACTTGAAATAAGAAAAACACCGATACACATACTAAAGTATCAACACATCAGCATTGCCCTTGCATTAGTCTCTCATAGACAGACACAGTATATACCAAACTCATACCTCTACCCTCAATCTTATGGAGGCAAGGGTCTGATGTGCTATCAATCAAGAGTGCATGCTGATATAGGATAGGCAACTGGTATCACACAGGTTTCCCAGACACCGCTGAGGGTAACAATTGTCTTCGGGTCAATTCTACATGGGAGAAGTCAACAAAAGCCACACAATGATATGGACATACAGAACTCATTACATATTAATGGCCGCCTGGCGAAATGGCATCGCGTCTGACTACGATACAATTGAATTTGTAAGGTAATCAGGAGATTGCAGGTTCGACCCCTGCGGTGGTCATTTTTGTTTCTCTTTCCCGTCGCCCTCCAAGTGCAGCTCTATACTTCTCCTCACGTTACCCTAACTAACACCCACTAAACCGGAGATGCGTGAATGACTGGATCCAGTAAGAACGAGTGAATGTGATCCTGCGCCGCGTGATGTGATATATATGAGAGGAGTCGGTATGGTATGTATGTATGAGATTTTGAATTGCACACGCCCACGAGCACGCCGACGCTAATCCCACACCAGCCGCCCGCCCGCATCCACGCTCGCCTTCATCCCGCCGCCGACTTTGGGGTTGCCGGAGGAGGCTTGCGCTGTAAACGGGATGAGCATATGACCGAGAAAGGAAATGGGAGGGGGAGGGATTGGAATTGGGTGGGGGGAGACCGTGTGAAGGAAGAATGGCAAGATCGACGAGCGGCGTCAAGGACATGAGTGGGAGTGTGTGGAGAAAGGGACGTAGAAGGGGAATCAGATGGGCGTAGGTAGGAGAGCAAGGGGAATGGTGAAGGAGAATCGGGAGGGAAGGGAGAGAGGAAGGTAAGGATATGGTAAATAGGAGGAAAGGGAGACGATGCAGATGTAGCGGGAGCACAGTGCATGATGCGCCATACACGCACGCAGGCTGAAAGAAACGCCACGCAACGCGCCTTGGATAGCGACATGCGCCCTCCCCGGGAAAAGCCACCCCACAAGACTCCAAAGACGCGGAATCGAATCACTCACCCCGCATCCGCTCCGCCTCTCCCGCGCGCCGATGCGCCGCCAGCGCCGCCGCCTGCACCGCATCCGCCTCTGCCTTCGCGGCCTTCTCCGCCTCCTTCCGCTTCGCATTCTTCGCTTGCGCGCCGGCGCCCGCTGTGGTGGTGGGCTTGGATTTGGATTGCGAGGAGGTGAAGGATGAGGTGGATTGGGCTGTAAGAGAGGTGATCAGTGGGTGTGGGTGAGAGGGAGAGGGGAGAGAGAGGGAAGAGAACGGGGAGCAGCGGCTCGATCTGACTGCACGAGTAGAGAGACCGACATATTTCAGGGAGTGAAAAAGGGACGTGAATGGCGTTTGTGCCAGTCCCACGGCCGACGACATACGACTTGCGCTGCGCCGACACCAAAGCCCGCATCATAGGTACCCTTCCGCCGCACCGTACGCCCCACTAAAGAAAGAGGAAAGCATCGAAAAGAGGATGAGGGCAAACGTGCCCAGCAGGGAGGTTGCGCAAGCGAGGCAGCATAGAGGCGGGTCGTCGTTCGACGTGTACGAGCGGGCATACTCCAATGACGAATCGAAGGAAACGGGGAGCAGCACATCGCCGCCAACGCGCCGTACGTGCCGCACGAGTAGTACGCCCCTTTTGCTCTAGCCCCACCACCGAACGCAGGCCATTGCGGCCGGTACGGGACTCCCATCGTCCAGCACAGAACAAAGAAGCGAAAACACCAAAGAGCACAGACGACGGCGGTGCATCTCACCGCCCCACGGGGCCGCACCTCCCATGATACGATATGCGCTGCACGGCAGGGCCGTACCTCCGCATCGGCCACCCCCGCCTGCTTCCCGCCCCTTCAGCACCGCGTCACACCTCACTTCCCCCGCCCCCAAAGCGGCGAGCACGAGGAGAAGAAAGGGGAGGAGAAAGAGGCGCGCTGCCCCGTCTCATCTTCCTTCCACCCCGCCCTCCCCCAAAACCCGGGCCCTCAAAGTCCCTCCGCACAAGACGGATGGATGGATGGATTCCGTCCTCCCGCCTTGCACCATCACCACCATCACACGATATCCCGAAACACGGGAGACGCGCCCCCGCACCCCCGCAAAAAACCGAAACGCGAAACAAGCAAAACAGCAACTCACCCGCCCCCCGCCGCTTCACGGGCACAAAGTCCCACGCGCCCTCCTCCTCCTCCTTCTTCTCGAACGACGCGTCCGCGCCCCAGCCCTCCCCGGCATCGGCCTCGGCGGCGGACAGCGCGAGCGCCGCGCGGAGGTCCTCGTCGTCCGCGTCGTCGACGTCGACGTCCTCCGATGCGGGGGTGTCCTGCTCTTGCCCTTCGGCGAGCGGGTCCGCGGAATGCGAGCCGGTGGGCGTGCGCTGCCCGGCGCCGGGGACGACGCGCATGACGCGCGCGAGGGCGGGGTAGTCCGGCGAGGAGGCGGGGAGCATGCTGCAGCGGTAAAGGGAAGGTGGGTATGGTTAGCGATCGGTTTCAAAGACATCGAGGGGAAAGGAGAGGAAGGCTGGCGGAGAAGACGCCAGAAGAAGTAAAGCAGGACGAAAGCAAGGAAGAACAGGACCGCGGTCGGGCGGGTCGTCCTCTCCTTCCCCGTTTATGAACACGGTGAGCGGCTTCCTCGCACGACGCGCGCTCTCCTCGATGAATGCGCGCCTGTCTCGGGGCCACACGTATCCATTCCGCCTTTCGTGTCCACGTGTCTGACTCCGCGTCGTCTTCGGACTAGTCCGCCTCGCGTCCCACAGCGCGACCTCGTGCCCGGTCAGGCGTATCTCCGTGGCGCGGGTGTGTCCATCTATCGTCCCGTCGGCATCCACCTCTCATCGCATCCAGGGCCGTCCAGGGCCGTCCCACCCACATAAGGGTCCAAACCCGCGTCTGCACCCGCCCGCGGATAATGAGATGAAATGCACCGGGTACGCGCGCATGCTGTACCCCACCCCACCCATCCGCATGCGCGCTCGGCGCCCGGAAACGGCATTCTCTCCAGTCCCTCTCAGCCTAAGTACTCCGCCCCACACAAACGCGATGTGGGGCCGGGCATGCGGAGCGCGGGACGGAACGGAGAGTAAGATGCATGACGCACGACGGAGAAGAGAAAGTGGCTCGTCTGGTCTAGTGCCTTGCCTGTATCCCATCGCTCTCCGCATCGTGCCGCTCAACGAGGAACGCAGGGGAAACAAGCGAAAAGACGTGGAATGGAAAGAGAAAGAGACAGCGCAGACGACGCCGAAAAAGGAAAAGAAAGGAAAGAACGGCTCGGGGGGCACGGCGGCGGTATGTAGATGTAGTAGCCCGCAGAGTGAGTAGGGTAGCCGTACTGGGCTGCCATCGATTGTCCACATACGCTGTGAGCGCGCGGACACGCGGGTGCATCGGAGGGCACAGAACGCAGAAGCGCCCAACCCCACGGGAAGCAACCCAAAGCAACAGAGACCGCAGCGAGGAAAAAAGAAAGGCGACTCACTCATCGACCCCCGTCTTCCGCGGCTTCGGCAGCAGCCGCTCCGCCAACGGGCGCTTCGGCGGCTTGTTGAGGCTCGCCTTGGGGCGCATGCCCGGCAGCGGGATCTCCTCCGCCTCCGACTCGGCCTCTTCGTCCTCTTCCGGGAGGCTGTCCTCGGTGGTGGTGGTGGTGGAAGCGGAGGTGTTGGTGTTGGTGTGGTCCCCGACGCGCGTCCACCCGTCGTCGGTGCTTTCGCCCGCCTGGGGGGGCGGCGCGGGCGCCTTCTTCTTGCCCTTTGTTTTTTTGGGCTTCGCGGCCGGGGCGGCAGCTGCGGGCGGGGTGGGGGTGGCCGCCTCGGGCGCGGGTACCGGGAGCGGTGCGGAAGGAGGTGAAGCCTTCGCAGACGCGGACACGGAGGCAGCCGACGCCTTCTTCTTCGCCTTCTTCGAGTGGGCCTTGACCAGCGGCGCCTTGGGCTCGTCCGCGTCCGGCGCGCCGTCGAACGCGCCAGGGAGGGACGAGGATGCGGTTAGGACGGGTGCAGCTGGAGCCGCCGTGGTGGGCTTGGCTTTTGATTTTGATTTCTTGGGCTCCAATACGGGGGCGGCAGATTCCGCAGCGCCAGCCACAGCAGCAGTAACACCACCCGTGGACTTGCGCTTGCTCTTCTTCGCCGCAGATTCCGCCCCGGACCCGGAAGACGACGAGCCCGGCGCGAGGGTCGAGTAGCCGATGGCGACTGCGCCGCCGACGACGACGGCAGCGGTGAGGACGGTCTCGGGGGTCAGTGTGCTTTGTGCAGAGCCCATTTTGGTGAGAGAAGACAAGGAGAGTGAGAGTTTATAATTATGGTGTGAGTCGGGACGGAGCGGGACACGTGGCATCAGACGCGTACATACGCACAAACAACGCGTAGTGCGGGTTGTCAGACGACAGGCAACTCCGCCGGTATGCATACGTGAGTTCCAGTTTCGTAGACCTTAAACAAAAAATCGACGCGTCCCACACGGCCCGGTCAATCGAGAGGCAAAAACTTCAAGTTCTCAATATTGTCATGGCTTGGTCCCGAATCGAACGGAGACAGACCCTGCGTGATCGCAAAGGATGGCACGGGTCATAGAACACAGGTGCGGACCTCCCGCTACCAAGCCATATCCATCCCATTTTGAACCTGATTTTGTGCAGACCTTCCCAAATCCATGTCCTTTTCATCAACCCAACCCAGTGTGTTGGATTTATCCCATGAGCGGGTATAATATTGGGTTCTTGGACTCTTTTTCAAACCAAGCCAAGCTCAGCCATGGACATATCCCGGGTGCAGGATCCTCGACAGAGCCCCAAGAAAAGAAATAAAAAATATCGACTCTTAGCGACATACGGCCCAGTCCCGAATCGAACGGAAGCTCCTGCTTACATCACTAGTATCCTCAATACTGAAAACAGGTGCGGACCTCCCGCTACCAGGCCATATCCGTCCCATTTTGAACCTGATTTTGTGCGCACTTTCCGTAGGATAACTAATAATCCATTTCCCTGCCCGGGCCCTCAGCTCAACGTGGAAAAACAGTTCCAACGTGCGGAAATTATGCAGTTGTCGGGTTGTCAGACGACAGACATGTAACTGGACTCCGCAGGTATGTATACATGCATATCTTTGAGTTCCAGATTCGTAGACCTCAAACAGAAAAATCGACACGTCCCTAGTTCACATGGCCCGGTCAATCGAGGGGCAAAAACGGTATCAACTAGTACTCCCGTATGGCTTGGTCCCGAATCGAACGGAGGTACACCCTGCGTGATTGGAATGATCTACGGCATAGAATACAGGTGCGGACCCCCC